AAAAAAAAAAAAAAAAAAAAAAAAAAAAAGAAAAATCAACATGCATTGAAATAACTATACTAAATATTAATTAGTTTGAAATACCTATATTAATGCTTATATTATTTTAATTTTGATTTTGCAAACAAAATCGAATATCTATCAGGAAATTTATTTTTTAGTTAGTTAGCAGATGATATCATCCTGAACAGATGATGTTTCCTAAACAGACAATATAAACTAGATCTCTAATGCAGGAAAAATTTCCAAGTCTTAATCTTTTTAGAAATTTTATTTTACTTTTAAAAAACACTATGACCATTTAAAAATATTTTATCTAAATTATATTTGCACATTGTACATAAAAATTAATATCTAAATATTTCTATGGATATACAATGCTCATGAAATTTTTGGTCCATTAAAAAAAAAGTGTGAGAGAAATCTCAGATGTAAAAGCTTATAGGAAAATACTTTTTCGATCTGATTAACTTACTTATTGAGCTTAGAATAACGTTTACAATTTTTGGAAAAAGAATTGACTAAATGATATGATAAACTCTGGTAAATTAAATTCCTAGAGATGAGTATGTGTTCTCAGGCAACTTCCTCCTTACTCACAGGTATATGTTTTGCATATATATTTTTTAAATATAGAATTATGTTTATTCTTTAAAATGGAGCAGTTCAAGTGGCATCTTTTGTCTGCCTTGCTGAAATTCTGATTTTAAATGCATATATGAGAACCCATTAAAATCCAGCATTATATAAATGGTTCAGAAACATCAGTATAAACCCCATGAAAAAGTTAATAATACATCATTTCTAATTTAGAAGTAAGTGTAATTTGCTCAAATGAAGCAGCTCAAAGTGCATCCTTTATCTTGCTCAAATTCTGCTTTTAAAGGCATATATTGAAATCTAGCATTGGATAAATGATTCAAAAACCTCAGTAAAGGATTAATTAAAAGACAAAGATACAGCATTCTTAATTAAGAATTATGTTTAATTTACTAAAATCAGCATCTGAAAGTTCATCTTTTATCTACCTAGCTGATATTCTCATTTTAAATGCATATATAAAATCTCAACGAAAACAAGCATCAAATAAATGGTTTGGAAACATCAGTATAAATTTAAGCAAAAGACTATGACACATCAATCCTAATTCAGAACTAAGTTCAATGCACTGAAAAAATTTTACTCACAGAACTTGCTGTGGGATAAGCCCCAATGAAAATGTGATATAAATGAGTGTGAAATTTGATGTTGCAAATATTTGGCATATATTTTTCTATTCTTATCTATCACGTCCTTCTGACAGATTGAACCATATAAAACTTGCTGCTTTTTTGGATAAAAAAAATTGAATATTGACAATTGTACAATAATTCAACCTACAGATACACAGATACCCTTATTGTTTCTTCTTCTGATTTGTCTACAAGGTCATATAAAAGTATTCTTGGGCCGGCCCGGTGGCGCACTGCTACAGTGCGCCGCTTGGGAGCATGGTGGCGCTCCCGCCGAGGATTCGGATCCCACATACAGACCGGTTCCCGCTCACTGGCTGAGCGAGGTGTGGGCGCAACACCGAGGGTTGTGATCCCGTTGCCGGTCCCGGTCCGGTACGGGCGCGACACTGAGGGTTGCGATCCGTTGCCGGACACGAAAAAAAAAGACAAAAAGAAAATAAAAAAAGTATTCTTGTATACAAGAATTTGTCTAATTGGGAGCATTGTTTAACTTCAAACTTTCCTCCAACATAAATTTCCTACAGTGGGAGACTCATAGCCTTTTGGAGCAGGGAAGGACTTTGCAAATCACCCATTCTGGTTTCTTAATTTTATAAAACAGAAAACTGTAGGACAATATTTTCTCTTTAAGGCATTTCAAATCTAGAGCAGATTTGCATTCTAGGTAGAAATTTCTTCTCTGATTATTAATTGTATTTAGGGTTAGGGTAAAAGTTAGGATTAGAGTTCTTCATTTCTGATCTCCAGAAGGAAAGTTGTATTATATAGGGCACATTAAGTCACAAATCTCACTTATCTTATAGCCAAAATCTAAGATCACTACAGTGATCTATTTTGATTCACAAATGTAAAATCATGGTTAATAAATAAAAAATAATCTTAACAAGCAGGTGAACTGTTTGTTATTTCTGTTATTCTCATCTGAATTTTCTAAGATTATGGTGTTCTTCCTACTTGCAAAATGTTTTATTGATTTGGAAAGTACTTATCCAGCATGTATGTGTCTATTCTTCAAAAGAAAAATTCAATTTTGTCTATGTCCAGATACTTTTTTAATTTTTGGTGGCTGAATCCTTGACCTTGGTATTATAATACCACATTTTAACCAACTGAGGTACAGATTCTTTTCTTTAAAGCATTCTCTAAAAACAATGTCAGACATATGATTCCCTTTTTCCAAAATGTTATTATTTATGTGGGATGTTGGCTTAAAAATCACTTATCACTTACCATTCAACAGAAACAGAAATTGGGGCTTGGGTGGGAGTTGAAGTGAAGATAGAAAAACCTACTTTGGTTTTAGCAACATGCTTTAATTTTCATATATGTTTTATTTATTCACGAAGTGTATGTATCTTGAAGCCATTCAGGGCTAATAATGGTGGTAGTGCTTATCAAGGATTATTTAGGGATTTTCAGAAACACTGGCTTGCTGGTCAGTTATACTTAAAAACATTACTAACTCCTTGTCAGAATGAAACCAAGGTTTGTCTACAAATTACTTCTCATATATTGTTTATGGAGAGTAAGGAACTGAGCAAGTTGACATGAAGGACATTTTTACTAGAATTTTATTAATTAAATCAAAATGATTAACAGTAACTTAATCTGATGAAAAAGATTTTGGGATTTCTCTTACAGCTAATTAAGCTAAATATTAACATGAATGTGTAAATTGACTGATTATTAAAGCTGTTGATCTGGAAGTTAAACTCTGCCCAATATTTTTCTGTTCACCTAGAGTCCAGATGATGGTAAAATATCAAAACTGAAAAAATTGTCTAAAATTTTTATTAAAAATATGAGTCAGGGTCTCAATGGGTTTATCAATGCACATATTTTGTTGGAGTGCCAGGAAAGACTGTAATGTGTATGTAAATTTATCTTTGTGTTAATCTGATTAACTTAAGAATTAAAAATGTAAAAATTATTTGTTCATCTGTGTGTGCCGTGGAACAGTCAGCACATTTCTTTGACTTTCAGGCCAATTGCAGTCTAAGTATATGGCATTGCAAACGGTGAGGAACAAAATCCTCTCTTCTTGTTGCTATTCTTGTTTCCAACTAAAATGCTAAATCACACCACTAAAAATATATAGTGGTGAAGCATTGCAATGTTCCAATAATTAAAAATTAAGACTAACCTTCAGTTTACCCTTTTCTATAGGTATAATAGCATATTGCAAATATAAATATTAATGTCTCTATATCAACTTGCATCATTAGAAAGAGATATAACTATCTTGTGTCCTTTCGATTTTTAAAGTAAAATTATCTTTTTAAAAATAAAATTTCCCAAATGTCTTCAAGTTTCAGCAATTATACGTGTACTTTACATGCATGTTCTAATTGTGATTGAAAGGTTTCTCATAAAAATTTATCAGCAAAACAAACTCTAATGATAAAATCTAACAATCTCAATCATTTTGTTTTTTTCTTTATTTAGGATTTATATTCCTCCTATTTCCAGAAAAAGGTTGAAGGAGCAACTCATTCTTATGAACTTTAATACAAATTAATTTACTTTCGTCAATTTGGTCCTCTCAGAAAATTTCCCTGGGGAGCAATGGCAAGCCCTCCTGCTGTCCACCCCCCTTAAACCCACCTGTTCCACAGAGGTGTCCATGCCACTTCTCTCCGCTGAGGTTGTTCCTTTGCCATCTTCTCCTCAAGTGCTGCACGACACAGTCATTCTCCGCCTGTTTAGCTTACAAGATTCTGTGACTTTTATGTGTTTTATGATAATGGTATAATGATAATACTTAGCACTTACACAACTTTTCATCATCAAAGTGCTTTCCAAACATTTACTATGAATTTTACATCAGTAAAACGAGCTGTATGTATGCCACTCCATAAATAATGAATAATCATATGAGCCAAGTGGAGGCAAAAATCTAAAACTCAGGTATTGTGACTGAGGAAGTCGTAGGACCACCTGGCTTGAGAAGAACAGTGTACCTTTGTTCAGTTTTGCTTTTTTGTGAATTTGGAGACAAGTGGCTGCTCTTCTCACACCCTGGAATCCATGTCCAAAGATTACGGCAATTTCTTTTTTGCTCTTCAATGAAAAGCCAATGGCTATCCAAGCTCTACTTCTCCTCCATTAGCATCTGAATGCTGTCCAACTTATAACTCTTTACCTCCTTCAATCATGTATCATCCTTTCATGAATTCCTCCCTAAATTTTTTACTGCCACCCTAATACTTGTGCTCATTAAAGAATTTTTGATTGCTGAAACCCACAGGTTGTTAAACTTTTATTTAAAAATGTATGGGTTTAACCAGTAATTTTCTAAAGTTTTGGACAGCATTTTGGGTTTTAGCAGCCAGTTTTGATATTGGTGTGGAGACTAGATAGGACACATCTTAGTATTTAGCCACCTGGGAGAGAAAGAATTTGCCAGAGGCCAGAGACTGCAGTAAAGAAGAATGCAATTATTATGCTGGGAGAGAAGGCTGTCTTAGTTAACAGTCTTTGTTAAAGAGAGACCCAACCTCCTTATATGATTTAGTAGCATTGTTGTCCTGCCAATGCTATTTCCTTTCTTCCCAAGATGTGTATAGTGAAAGATAATCAGAGAAATCATGTTTGTAGTACATAGAAAGGACCATAATAGCAGTTCTTGTATAAGTTAATAGGACCCTGACTAGATCTCTCTACATCCTTTAAAAATTTCTACATTAATTGTATTTATTTGAGTATTCTACACACTAGCTCTTGCATGTGTTCAAAATATCTAGTACATTCTTCCCATTCTCATTGGTCTATGTACATCCTACTCATCATTTGAGATTAGCTCAATCCTACTTTCTCCATGTGGGCTTCTCAAAGCATATTGCTTTATCATCTGAAGCTCATAAACTTTAATAAATGCATGAGATCTTACAACAAAATGTACACAGGACTTGGGGTATATTAGACCAGGGACCAGCTGAGACTTTTCCTGAATTATCATCCTAGAATGGTCTTTGGGGATCAAAGATCCTGATACATGATACCTTCTTTCATTGATCAAAAAATACATATTACATAACTACTACAATGTTGATACTGTGCTAATTATAGAATTAGAATAATTCTCTAAGGTGCTCACAGTCTAATGATGAAGCCAGCCAAATAAACTGGCAATTTCAACATATCAAAATAAGCATTAGATGAAGCATATGAAGAGCACTATATGAACAGAGAAGTGAAGTCTAATTCTGCTGCTGTGGGAAGGAGTCAGGGACGAGTCCTCAGAGCATGCAATATCTAACCCAAGACCTGAAGGATGTATAGGAATATAATGTTTAGACAGGTGAAGGTAGTGAATCAGCCTGGTAAAAAACAAGAAAGAGCACTGAAATTTGGGGTGATTGAAAATTATCCCAAGGTAGTTTGACCAAGGTGTAGAAGGTACAGGAGTTGGTGTGTGTGTGTACTGTTGGTGATGGTTGTAGGGGGATGTTGACAGGAGATGAGGTGAGAGAAATCAGAAGCATCCAGATTCTGTAAGGCCTTTTAGGTTATTTAAGGAGTTTGGATTTGATTTTAGAGCAATGGAGTGCCAATGAAGTGTTTAAGTATGATTAGTATGACATTTTTGTTATAATTACACTGGCTTGCTATATGCAAGAAAGATTGGAAGATGGAAAAACTGGAGTTGGAAGGGAACAGCTAGAATTTTTTTTAAGGAATCTATTCATTTTTTAATTGAAATGTATCAATTGTATATATTAATGGGGTACAGAATTATATTTTAATACATGTATGCAATGTGTAGTGATCAAATCAGAGTAGTCAGCAAATTAATCATTTCTTTATGATGAGAACATTTGGGCTCCTTTCTTCTAACCATCTGCGAACATATAATAAATTATTATTAGTTAGAAATGCCTAGCACTACTGTACACCTTTAGAACTTACTTTTCCTATCTAGCTGTTATTTTGTGTCCATTAACCAATCTCTCACTATTCCTCCTCCAACTTCCCCTTCCCAGCTTCTGGTAACTAGAATTCTACTCTCTACTCAAAAGTTATTTTAGTCATTCAGGTGTGAGTGCTTTGAACTAAGTCAGTGAGATGGAGATACATAGACTTGATAGGATATAATGATAGATTGGGTGTGGGGACTGAGAGAGTAGAGGAATCAAGGAAAACACTGATGAATGATTTTATGAAAGTACAGTTTTGACAAAGGCATCTATGATATCCTGGTGTATAAGATTGCAAACAATAAACTGCATGATCGTGGCACGGTTGCTTTGCAGCTTGTTAAACGATTCTATCCAAGTAGTGTTGAACAATAATTGAATATGAATCCTCATGCAGTTATTTAGTAAACCTTTACTTTGGCTTTCCTCTATTCAATACTTTAATCAATATTTTAGGAAAAATAACATTTCTATAGGAATAGCTAATATGATAGGATCTAAATTCTAACAAGTGAAAAGTTAAATTGTAAAATGCTGGGGAAAATGATAGATGATAAGATGTCACATATTACATATTATTAGTATATTAAGTATTTTGTTCTGCATTAAAGTTAAAACATAGAGCATAAGTATGGAATGAGAAAAAGTGTTATTTTCCAGGCATGCAAATATCTAATAATCCAACTGTATGATGCTGCTACTTAAAAAATTCACAAAATGCTGATCTTTAATAAAATTATTGAACACACCACTGCTCTGGTACCAATTTTCTGTATTAGTCTGTTCTGTTGCTTATAACAAAATACTTGGAACTGGGTACTTTGTAAGAAAACAAAATTTATTGCTTACAGTTTTGGAGGCTGGGAAGTCCAAAGTCCAGGGAACACATCTGGTGAAGGCCTTGATAGTGACAGTGACTCAGGGGGCTCACATGGCAAAATGGCAGAGCAGGGAGAGAGAGGCTCTCATGTGTTCTCCTTTTAAAGCCCTCAGAACCATGCACATGACCACCACTATTAATCCTTTCATTAGGGCATGGTCCTCAGAATCTAATCACTTCTTCAATTACCCACCTTTCAATTACCATAGTAGGATTTCCCACCCTACACAATTACAGTGGGGATTAAGCTTCAATGAATTTGGGGAGCCATTCAATCCACCACAGCTTGTTATAGCAGAAATTTAAAGACAATTTCAAATGGGCTTATTAAGCACACGGCAACTTCAGTATCTTAGAAGAAAAGTTTGTTTAAGTCAAAAGAGCCTGTGTTTTTTTTCTTTAATTATTAAAAACTGAGCTCTTATACAGAGGGTCTCAAGAATACTGAAAATGTTCTATTTCTTATATAAGATGAATTTATTTTTTTTAAAAGTTGTTTTCTTAATGGTATATCAATATAATATATACTTTTTGTATATGTATTACTTTACAGTACATAAAATATACTCTTACTTTAAGCTAAATCCCAAGCCTGTACTATAGAATTAAGAAATACTTTTTTGTTCAGAGCAAATTTTTTCCTCACCTGACCAGACTAGGTAAAGTTTCATGAGCTGGAATAGGGAGTAGAGGGTAAGAAAAGAAAACTGTAAAGTGGCTCAGAAAAGGTCTGTGGCCCCTGAACCCTTCCCATATTTCTCTCCCAACTCAGGGTTAATTCTGGATTGTAAGGATAATAGATCTCAGATAAGTATGGAGGCGTCTGAAAGTAGAGAGGTCTTGTGTCCCCCTTCACATTTGGAGCTGAAAAGTGACAACCTTGCAGGGTTCTTTGTGCCCCAGCATGCTTAAGCCCTCGAGTAGAGACACCTCACAGTGTATAGAGGCAGAGAAATCCTGAGGTAGCCTTGTTGAGTTTGATGGTGACTGAGAGTAGTAGGGGATAGTAGCCCATGTATTCTATGCCTTTAAGAAGTGTGCATAGGAAAGTGTCAGAGAAAACTGCTAGATCGGTTTGGAGACTGTGCCAGTAGTTGGCAGCATGATCAGTCAGAGACAAGATGGGAACCCAGACTTCTGATAGGTAAGTATGAAGGGTTGATAATGCCTGGAGACCAGATGGTACAATGTGCAGGGAGATGACAGTGCAGACAGATGATGACTAAAAATCAGTCTCTCAGCCTAGTGCCTTGGCACTATGTGAGCCTGGTCACTTGGAACTTAGAGAAGGGCAGGGATATGGTAACTGGACTGAAAAAACTCCAAACTCTCTAAGAAAACCCTGAATTGTCTAAATCTACCAAGAACAGAGTGTATAGTTGCTGCTGTTAGGCAGGATGGGGACTTGAAAGAGAGATGTAATTAAGAAAGTTACTTTTTTTTGGTGTATAGTTGATTGAGTTTATGACAAGAAAATACCATACCAGCTTGAGTAGGAAGTTTGAGTATTAGCTTAAAAAGAGGCAGCTTTTAAGTTATACAAAAAAAAAAAAAAAAAAAAAAAAAAAAAAGTGCTTTGATAAAAGTTTTAGTTTTAAAGCCATAAGATGTTTAGAAGTATGGAGGGAGAAACTTAGGTAGGATTATACCTTTAAGAGATTTATAGAAGAAAGATGCCATAGAAAGATGTTATATGGAAGTTATAATTCTAAGTTTCCTTTTAAATTTCATAATTTTATGTGTTTGGAAATGTGTTCTCTATTTGCCTAACATTTGTGATGATGTATATTAGAACACTTCTGAAAAATAAAAGGTACTTTTCTTCCTTTCCTTTTTATTACAACTTTTATGTCCCCTTTAAGAG